TAAAGAGTGGTTTGAAACATATTGTAAGTCAAAAATTAGGGAATTACCTTTATTCATCGTCGCTTCCACTTACATCTGACAGTAATAAACTGTCGCTATCGCTTTCCTCGTTGAAATTGACTATAACTGGCTCTATGATGGTGTCGATGTGGTGGTCAAGCTGCCACATTTTTGTTTCTTCCTTCACAACATGACGGATAGCATTCTGCCAAGCTTCGGGCGTTACTAGCTGTATGAAAGTCTCAAGTAAAACCTTAACGTCTGGTAATTTGAAGGTTGTGTTATGGCGCGCAATATAACCCTTCACTTGAGCCCAGATGAGCTCTATTGGGTTCAGTTCACAGTGGAAGGGCGGTAACCGCAGCACAGTGACACCACACTGACGGGCCATCTCATCAGTCACGTAACTAATGTTCGCAGGTTTGTGCTGTTTAATTTTTTCATACAATTCCGCTTTCACACATGAATCGTCAAACGGGTTTCCTTTTTCGCGCAACCATTGCTGCATGTCACTTTTTCGAGATCCCATAGTCGGTACACGTTCGGCTCGACGACTATGGTAGGAAGCATTATCCATGACGATCACAGAGTTGGGCTCAACTCGCTGGAGCACCCCTTGAAACCAGCTCTCGAAGCAGCTGGTATTCATTTAGTCCTGGTAATCACCTCCTTTCTTAGAGACGAAAATCACGTCACACTCTTCTAAAAAGCCACTATCGCTACCAATATGAGTTACGATCAATCTTTGACCTTTCGCTGACGGTCCACGAAGACCTTTTGACAAACCTTCAATGCTTGCTTGTCGGTTACTCACTTCGTTTTTGTCTATCCAGGTTTTTTTAACTGTGTGACCTGCATTTACCCATGTCTCGTCCAAATAATAGATTTTTCTGCTTTGTCGCCTATATTCAATCATTTCGCGTAGGTATTTTCGATGCCAGGCGACTATTTCAGGTCTCTCTATCAATACTGACTTCCGATTACGCGTTTCGTAACGAAAATTAATTTCGTGCAGGGATTTACTCATTACCTCGACGCTCATTTGGGGTATAATTTCATTTTCCTTGATCGCTGCATGTACAGCCTTGAGGGTTGGTATCTCATTCCTAAAGAAGAATGAATGTACGGTTCGCCTTAACGCCATTTTGCTATCGTCATCCAATTTAACGGCCTTTCGTCCCTTCAAATTAAAGTTTGGATCAGTAGTAGCTCCAGTTTTCTTCTTTTCATGCACCACCCTGCGAATGGTCCACTCTGGAACGCCTGTCATACTTTCACAACGCGCGAGTGCATCTCCCTGCGACATAGTTCTGTTCAGATAATTGAACACGTTGAGCACGATTTCTTTCGCGTCCCTCTTCAGTGCTTTACGAAGCCGTCTGTTCCCTGGCTTTCAGTACTTCCACTCGTGCTATTTGTACTCTCCATGGTTAAGTATAACCAAAACAGTAACCACAGAAACCACAACAATAACAATCACACAACAATTCTTAAAAAACACACAATCTGCGATCGCTCAACGAAACACGTTCCAATGCGTTGCCGACGCCTATGAGTCTGCCGGTCGAGGCGCGTCTTTGATTTCATTGGTTCTACCGGCGGAGAACAATCAGCCATTATTTCCATCTCTGTCTGTGCTGTTGACCACCGCAAAGCCACAGAAACGACATATGTCGTACGCTATACGGCTGTACTGGAAGGAAGCCGGGATCGAGCTCTGATCACGTGTTGATCACGCGTATGAGTCATTACAGTTTTAAATAGTTGTAGTATAGTATACCAGTCGATGTTAACAAGGTCAGAGAACTTACATCCTCAGATTCAGTACTTTCTGAGGTACTAAATTTTGTTAAATGATGTAAAATGATTTGATACCTTATTTTAGTAGGAAACATGAAATCAATGTTGAAGACGATGTCCTGCTTTGGGGAGTTATCATACCATTTCAGTTACGAGAGGTGATATTGAAAGAGTTGCATGCTCCCCATTTGGGAATTGTTAAAATGATGTATCTTGCGAGATCTTATTTTTGGTGGCCGTCCTTGAATGATGATATTGAAAGTGTTAGTAAGCAGTGCAACACATATCAACGCTTGCAATCATCGCCTGCCAAGGCACCGTTACAATGTTGGCAAATACCCGAGGGCATTTGGTCGCGGATACATTTTGAACCGAAGAAAAACAATTTCTTTTTGATTGTCGTTGATGCTTTTTCCAAATGGCTTGAAGTATTTTCGATGGCATCTGTTACCACTAACATGACTACTACAAAGCTGCGAGAACTTTTTTCTAGATTTGGATTGCCTAAGACTATTGCAAGTGATAATGGTCCCCAGCTAGTGTCAGAACAATTTAAACAATTTACAAATGTTAATGGTATTAAACTAATAACTATGCCGCCTTGTGAACCTCATTGTAATGGTGCAGCTGAGAATAGCGTAAATTTTTTTGAAAAAGGTTTCTGATCAAAAGAACTGTAACTTACTATTAGCTCAATTCCTTATGATATATAGGAATACTGTTCACTGTTCTACTGGTTATTCTCCTGCTAAAATATTTTTAGGTCGATCGTTGAGAACTCGATTTGACATGTTTAGACCAAGCTCAGTCCAAGACAATGAAAAAGTTAAACTAGAAAATGGTTACCATAACATGCAACGTCCTCAACGAAGAAACGCAAAATACTTCAGAGGAAATAGGAAAGAATGTTTTAATATTGACCAAATTGTGTTGGTTAAATATTATCGCGATAAACAAGTAACTTGGTGTAAAGGACAAGTTGTTAAAATTTTGGGGAAAAACGTTTACGTTGTTCGACCACTAGATTCAAATTTCCTTTGGAAAAGACATACTAATTAACTAAATGATGATTATTCGTTGGTCTACCCACCCTGCGTGGAGCTGCCGCACATACTAAACGTTTTTTCCAATAGTGATGGTGCCAGCAATACTTCTGCCGGCAGTTCGGTTGATGATGTGTTTGTGGATGACGGAATTGCGGATAGTGAACGCGTGGATGTCAGTGACTCGGATTCTAGCTCCATTGGTGAACAGGCTGAACTTACACGACCCATACGTATCCGTAAGGTACCGGATAGGCTCCAATACTAACCATTCATTAATTGTTTCTTTTTTTTTATTGTTACCCATCTGATCACTGTTAACAATTTTCAGGGGAGATGAATGTAGTATATTAAGTACGCCCCTGGTTCCCCAGAATTGCGCATGTACGATGAGTACTATCACCGGGACAAGTTTTTGCACACAGTATGTCGGGGTTCGGATTGTAATGGTTGTATCGGTGATCTATAATAAACCATTAGTATACTTCCGGGTATTATTGATACCAACTAAGACATTACAATAATCTTACAATACTTTTTCTCCAATCATATTCATTATATTACATGACGAGCTGTTAGGGTTTCCATAGCCGACCAAAAGTAAACCTTCAAGAACGTAAGAAAATTGATTCATCATGCGTATTCAGCTTCCAATTTCATTTTTTCATTTAAATTAATAATGCTTTTTTTTCACCGATATACATTCTGCTCTATGACTTTATGCCGGAGTATAATCATTTTCATAACCAGCAAATAATAAATATACCCGAGAGTACAAAAGTTGATTCAGATGCTATTATACATGATGCATATAAAACGTGGCAAGTACAGAGTCAATCTCCTTGTCGAAATTTTTTCTTCTGTGAAACATCTTTCCATGAAGGCGTATAAAAACCGTCATCTCATGCATCAGTTTCGTTATATACTTTACACTGTTCTACATAATATAGAACACTCAAACTGCTTCACAATCCAATCAGAAATCCACAACTATGATACAAGACAAGCTGGCGTCTCGAGGAAGCCATGTTATAGACTAGATATATTTGCCAGAACTTCATTAAATCTAAATTTTTAGAATATACTACCTAAGACCATCCGTTAGCTGAACTATATGCAATTCAAAAGACGATTGAGGTACATCCGATTCGATCAATATGTCTACTCTGTTGATGAATTTTTGAATTACAATGTTTTGTTTTTTGTGCTTTCTCTTTTTTTATTGCAATTGTTTGACTCCCTTTTTCTTTACGGTTTCTGCATGCATGACTTGTCATACTTATCATTATATAATATGGCCAATAAATTATCAACATCTACATCACTCTAAATCTGAGCTTGCTGATATAACACAGTAGAGGGGGAGCATTATGAAAAGCACGATAAAAAACTTAATAAAAGACAAATTATTAAACATTATATAAGAAGCAACATGTAGCATCAATCGAACTTAAAACTCATATCAAAATAAAGCAGGTTCTGAAAACCAATATTTTTGAATCTCATCAAATCACCTCTACATTAGCCAGTTTCTGTCGCGCTGAAGCGCATTGGACGAAATGCTTTTAAGCCATGAGGGGAGGTCAAGGTGTACCAACAGGATTTTTTTTTTACGAAATCCGTATTCCAATCCTGGAGATCCCTGCTTGTAAGAACTTTGTTGCGTATTTCTATAGAGAAAATCAGGTTTAATCTTTGATAGTTGGGTTTACCGGCTGATTGAGTGCTCATATGGGTTACTTGCCTTCAGCATTAAATGTAGTAATAATTTATATACATCTTTTTATCCAATGGAAGCGTTTTACTCTCTTTTGTCAAACATTTTGCCTCGACCTCCATCCCCTATTTGGGATTCACCGCAATAGGGTAGCCTCCCCCCCCCCCGACAAATTTTGAAAGCTGCACTACTGCTACTGACAGTTTTCAATCATCTGTCTATTTAAGTCGGTTAAAAAGTTCAAGTCATGCAATGCTTGGTTTTTACATTACCTCAACTAATATCTGGCCAAGCGTTACATAAAAATCAAAGCCAACGGCATTTTCACCCTTCTTTATGCGGTCTATTTAGTAGCCTACTATTTTTCCGCAGAAAATAGAGGTGTAACCCAGGCCGACAGCAAGGGATAATTTCTGTATGTGTATGTGCCCTGTAATTACGTATGTCCGGCAGCAGCGACTGTAATCTGCATAACGCATTGCACTTTATGCCTGCGAGCCACTGAATGCCAGTTAATTTGCCTGATATCCTTGTAACAACGTGCTACAATTAAACCTATAACTCCTTTAACGAGTTCTTTATTGGATCATTCGTTGCTGCGTCGTGAGTATGTTATCAAGTGAGCCGTTTTCGGATCTCCGTATTAGATGGAAGTTAAAAACTGTATTTGTCATGGTTCAGTGAAGAGTGTCGTCAAGATCAAGATATGAGGGGTGTCCCGAAATTGAAGGATAGCCCTGCAACTATAGATAGGTCACGTCATGACCTACTAGTTGGTAAAAGTTTGTTTTATTAAAAGTCTTGTGGTTTTCAAGATTTTCAGCATTCGACTAACGGGGCTCCTACAATCCCGAGTACCATCTGCTGAGGTAACGGGGGGGTGAAAAGGAAACGAGGGTGGGCAGGTCTTAGACGGTTATCGGCGCTACTTTAAAAGAGGAGAGGATGACTGCGGGTGCGTACCGAGGTAAATTTTTATAATAACAGAGTCGGATTTCGATTAGCGATCTAGCATGTAAATCTTTTCCTATTTTGGAACTCAGCAAGTCATCATTTAGTATTGTTCTACCCTGGTTACTGTTCGTCGATATTGTGTTGTTGAATTGTTGTGGGGTACTCTTGTTGGTGTGATTGTTCTTGAGTACCTTTTTTTATCAAAGTTGATAATGTACAATAAAAGGTCATATGCGATAATTACGAATGCACTGAGTTTAATTCATGATGAGGACAACAATAGTGTGGAGCAATTCAACTCTATAATCGCAAAAACTCGTACATTCGGGAGTAAGCGAATAAATTATTGCAAGAAGAGGTGATACCATGGAAAATGTGCTGCAGCTGTAGTGAGCCACAATACCGAGCGGCCTGTCTATGTGGTTCAAATTCATTTGCGTGCTAAGCTTAGTCCAACCTCGCTTTTATCACTAAGATGGAACAAAGACTCAAACGCAATAATCTTGAAAAGACCAAAAAAAGCTGATATAAAAATAATTAACAATTCGGATAGCAATTCCAAAGAAAATGAATCGCGAATTCAGTCGAAAACCTGACATTAACTACATTGATTTTTAGGTTGCTAAGCGAAAATTTTTAGGGAAACTTAAAAAAAGTGACGACGAGATTTTGCAGATCGAACAAGTCACCAAATCACAGGACTGTACTTTGTGGCGTTTTCAACGGAGGATAAGGTTGACAGCGTCTCGATGTGGTGAAGTTTGTATAAGAAGGCAGACAACAAGCTGTAAAGTTCTAGTAAACTCCATCATATACCCAACAGAGTTTTCTAGTAAGGCAATAAAAAAAGGCAATACAAAAATTATTGGATACGCCAGTTCAATCTTGTGGTTTGTTTATTGATCGCACACATCTATTTCTGGCAGAATCACCTTCATCTACCTATTACAGTAGACAAGACATGTACTTAATCCAGGCATTAGCCTACCTATTTATTGCTTTGCAAAAACTACCTAACCGTTTCCTCTTGTTTTGACTGCATAAGATATTTTTATGACCCTCGTTCAATTGTTACCATCTACCACATGACAATTGTAAACATCATTTTGTTTAATGACATGAATAAACGAATTTGAATTTGAATTCTTGAATTTATTTTAGGAAAGATATAAGATTATTTTAATACATTTTTTCTTAGTCGGAACGCACCGTCACGACGCTTGGACTGGCAGGTTGAAACAGTAGATGAATTTCGCTCAAAAACCGATTTGTACTTCACAGCTTACGTTTGATTTTTACTATTTCCGAATGAAACTCTTGCAGCGTGTTAAAGACAAAGTCCACAGCGTGCCAGCGATCCACTTTTTCGATTTTATCCACTAGGATCTTTTTAAAATATCAAGAAGTTGAGCACAAATAGTAAGCATTTCAACCCACCATAATTCTTGCCCAAATACAAAATTTTGTAAAAAGCTCCCATAGCACCCTAGGCAATTATGTCCTGCTTATATCCAGAAAAAACATTACAAACTGCAGAACACAAATTGAAGGTAACGGCGAAATGGGTACATTTCACCGGTCATGAAATTCAAATGAAAATGCAGGTATAAAATCTACCAAATTATCATTCTCAAGAACATATTTCCTTGACATATCGATAATTTTAAAGTTACACGCTAAATTCCCCTATACTTGACTGGAGTGATATCCGAATTTATTCTTCCCTACTGTCGGTAGTTGCAGATCTGTTGGCTCTTGGTGTCAAACGTATTGAGCAGATACCGATTCTTTCAAATCGTGAGTACATTATTCGTCGGATTTTCGTTACTTAAATTTCCTGTAATCACTGCGATCAAAAGCTTCTTAATAATAGAACGCGTTTCACTGATTTCAACCCCCCCTTTTTAAGCAGTACAATTTTTTTATGTCAATGATTAGGAACCCCTGAAACGTCAAAAACGGAGTTTCAGCAATTGTTACTTTTTTTTTGCCTATAGCACCGTTGCCACTGGAGTAGAACTTAAAAGCTTTGGCAGTGTAGAAATTTCATAAAAATCCGAGCGGTAATTTCCAAGTTGACGATGAGTGATACAGTTTTTCGTGATGTAGATGCCATATGACTTAAAAAACATAACATCGCATTTTAGAAATTTTTCGCGATTACAATACTTCCTCGCCAATGGCGTGGGAAGTAAAACGGCTTTAAAATGTAGGAGTATCAGCGATCGCGATTATGAGTACCTATTTGCAGAACGAGTTATCTACGCGATATTATATGAAATAATGCCACCAAATTATCTGAATACGTCCTTTCTTAGTCCGTACATTGCGCCGCAACGCTTGTGTTGGAAGCACGAAACAGTAGACAATATTCGTCCAAAATAAGATTTGTAGAGGTTTGCGCGCTTCGAAATTGACGCTTTGCTTTTTGATATATTTGGATGAAATTTTCACAGTGTGCTGAAAACAAAACCCCACAGGGTGCTATAGAGCCACTTTTTCATTTTTTCACTAGGTTCTTTTTAAAAAAATCGCGAAGTTGAACAGAAAAAGTGCGCACTTCAACCCATCATAAAACTTGTGCAAAAACAAAATTTCAAAAAGTGCTCCTATAGTACCCTGGGAAATTATCTTCTCAACATACTGCATGAATTTCATTGAAATATATTGCAAAATTGAGTGTCAGTTTGGAAGCAGCTGAACCCTTGTAAATGGCTCGAAACTCACTGTGTCGGAGCCGCCTTAAAGAAAAACTGGCTTATTTCTACAAATATTAACTTTTTCGAACCAGGTTTATTTAAAAATAGTGAAAATTAAGCATTTTATGTCGTCAAGAATTATTTTTCCTTAAAGTGTCGAAAAAGCCACATAAAAGTCATGCCAAAGTCTGAATTTTATTAAAACTCCTTCCCACGTCTGACTGTGACACCCTGTAGAGTAAGAGGATCACTGTACCAGTTTGTCGAAGAAGTTGGCGAACTGTTGGCAATTTTCAAATGGTATTATTGTTATTCGCGCTCTACTGTTTTTTTCGTTTTATTACAATTATAGTGGAGGAGGGTCAGTTTTCGTTGACATCAGAAAATAACAATTTATAGCTCGGATACAAACAATGACAGTTGACGTTGAATGATAATTTACATTTGAGACATCAATGTGATGATGTACAATACAATACAATATAATACACTACAATATTTTATTGGTGTTAGTGTACATACTGTAGTTACACACGTCAGTCTGTAACAAAAAGTTTATAGTATACATAGATAATAATCTTTAAATCCACTTTGCAGATGACAAATGTGTATATATAATAATATATAAGAAGGTACAGTGAAATAATACAAATAATTTAAGAAGCAATAACAGATACAGCACATATCAAAATTTAAAGTTCAAGATCTCATGGTATGAATAAAAAGCATTTTCAGCCAGGAAACTTCTTATTGTCTGTTTAAATGCATTTAAATTTGAAGATCTGATTTGCAGCGGTAATTTATTGTAGTATTTGGGTGCAGTAATTTTTAAACCTTTCTGACTTTTCGTTAATCTTACAAAAGAATATTTAAGTTCCCAGCACTCCTTGTATCATAGTCAGTATGTGAGGTATGCGAACAGCAATTTAAATACTGTTTAGCATACATCAGTGCTTCATGAACTTATACTGAAGGCAATGTGGGTATCCTCAATTCTTTGAATGCTTGTTTGCAATCGTCAGTATAATTCAGTGAACACAATATCCTAATTGCCCGCCTCTGTATAGAGAATAGTCGATGCCATTCCGCACCCTGACCCCAAACTAAGATACCATATGATATCAAAGAGTGGTATAGAGGTAAGTAAACTGACTTCAATGTATCACTATTCAACTCATACGATAAGCTTCTAAGTAGGTAAATGTTTTTTCTTAGCTTTTTTGCTGTTTCATTACTGTGTATGCCCCTTTTAAATTCCTTATCTACGTGTATACCTAGAAATTTTGTTTGTTCTGTATGTTTGGTTTCTGGATCTTTCAATGAAAATATCATATCAACTGACTTGTTTTCATTCAGGGTCTTATTTGCATCAAACCAGTTTTTGTCAGACGACTGTGCGATCACACCTTTCTCAAGAAGCTCAGAAATGTTTTTTGATCTAACTGAGATGGCAGTATCATCAGCAAATAGTATATACTTTCCATCTTTGTGGCTCGGCAGATCATTGATATATATTAGAAATAAAATCGTCCCAAGAACTGAGCGCTGGGGTACACCATGTTCAATATGCTTTTCATCTGAAGTTTTAATTCCGATTTTCACTAACTGTTTTCTATTTGTTAAATAAGAATTGATTAGGCTGCAAGAAGCTGTTTCGAAGTTATACATTCTGAGCTTTCTGATTAAGATGGTACCTATGTGATACACGGTCAAATGCCTTGCTCAAATCACAGAATATGGTCTGCAAGAATTCTTTTTCTTCAAAAGCGTCAATTATGTCGTCGACCAACTATAAAACTGCGAAGGACGTCTTTTTTGTAGATCGAAATCCAAACTGGTTCAAATAGAACATGTTATCAGTTTTAAAATGGAATACCATTTGTCTCACCAAGCATTTTTCGTAAATTTTGCTGAGAATAGGAAGTAATGATATTGGGCGATAGCTTGCGATATCATCAGTATTGCCATTTTTGAAAAAAGGTGTCACAACTGCACGTTTTAAGCAGTCCGGAAATATGCCACACTCAATGCAATTTAATCTTCACTTTCAGGGGATAAATTTGAGATCGATGATCCAGGATTATTATGGTTCTTTATGAAATCAAAAAGTTCAAAGTATCAAAGGGAAGGTTTGTATACATCATCTGCTGAGGCGCCAGATTTCAGTGAGGAGTCAATTTTCTTCTGCTCCTTTCGAACGTTGGATCTCAAACTGTTGATTTTTTTAACAAGGTCTTGTTTGCATCAGGCTGTATTTCCTTCAATTTATTCACTAATTTCCTGTATGCAGCATCTCTCTTGTCTCTATTACGATAGTCATTATCTTTCACTTTCCACCAGCACGGTTCACTTTTATAAATTCCAATGAAATCGCTAAGAACTTCATTATTTCGTTGCAACATTTTCCAAAATCTAACTAAGAATTTAAACTGTCCACATAAGGATTGTTAAAAACTGAGACCTGTTTAGGTTTCACCGCCACACACACATGAAGTCTACTTGCTTGTCAGGCAGAACAGATCGAATTTTCATCAGTGGTCAGGTCGTCTGAGAGGCTAGTTTTTCCCGCCACACACTATCATGTACATCTGACAGGTGTAACTGTTCAGGCGTACCTGTCGAGTGTACCTGACAGTGTGTGGCCGGCATAAGATGTCAACATCTGTATTGGTTACCAGTAGCCCGCAGCACCCCAAATTTCTCTCTGAGTCTCAAGCAGTACAATATTCTGGGGAAATAAATTGACCTGGTAAGATGTATTGATATCAAAAAGCCTTCCTCCCTGATTTTAATTAAAGTATCATTCATTGGTATCGAGACAAAGACAAAATAAGGAACCGAGCGACAAGGAGGAAGGAAAAGCAGTCATGGTGGCTGCTACCGCCTAGACGGTGTAATAAAGTTACCGTCATTTTAATAGTGTAATTAAAAGTAACAAATAGGGCTCCATTATGAACATCTACGGAGCTCATTTTGTTTTTTCGTCATTAACAGAGTAGCGTTTACATCGTTATTAGTTTTTGAGCACACACAAAAGAGGTTGCTGTACCTATTATTGGAGACATATAGCGATATGTAAATATCATAGTGTGACAGATGAAACGTAAGAAATTGAAAGGAACAGTCTATAGGCAAAGATGAATTCTGCGGGCCTAATTACTGCAATTAGCTTTGAAGACATGAACCGGGGAGAGAATAGCGAGCAGGAATTAGCAGTTGAGGATCATGGGCGAAGTCTCTATTGATAGTGATGACAATGTACATAATTGTAAATGATTTTTTTTTATAGCATTGGATCATTGAAAAGTAAAGAACATTCTAAATAAATTGAAATTTCATCAAATTCGCTGATGATTGGATCTTTCAAATGACTGTCTTCAAAAACGCAGTATAAGATGTTCATTGTTCAATACTTCATTCTCAAAAAAAAAAATTGAAAGCATTAATTGAAAAAAACATTGACAGAAATCATCGACATAAATTGCGCGTATTTCATCATTTGTGTGGCTTATTGAGAAATAAAAAGATATATATATATATATATATATATATATATATATATATATATACGAGGTGACTTTGAAGTTGAGTCATTAATTTTCAGATAATGATTGTAGAAGGAAGATAAACCAAAATATGTGTGTAAAAATAAAAAAAAATGTTACCTTGTTTTATAAAGTATCCTCCCGACAAGTATTTCAGTGCGGACCTGTATTTGATCGTGCGGTCTTGGAGCACCGGCATGCCCTCCCCTGTGAGGTCTTAAGTCACCTGATTCACGAGCCTTTTGTACTACATTAACAAAGGCACGAGGGGTTGGTTGCACTCGATTGGAAAACCGATCCGCATAAATCCGTGATGCCGCGGCAGCATTTTGTAAAGACTCCCCACCCGTAAATAAGAATCATGTCCACAAATTCAGCATTTTTGTAAACATGTGCCTTTTTGTATTTCGTTTGAGCCACGCAACAAACACCACTATTCACTCACGCGTTACCGACTGACACATTGACTGAATACAACTGAATAAAATTGTAGTAAAAACATCGTGATAAGCGTTTCAAATTCTTTCGCTTTTTTGTTTCCGATGCGATGAACCGATAAGGCGGATTATATCCGTTGTTGCCAAACACGAGCACATAATATTATTATTGAGACAGGGCGGTACTCAAACTTCTAAAGGGCTATAACTTTGTTACTTTAATTTTACCACAAAAATGTTAAGGGAAAAAAACATTTCTTTTGATCAGATCTACTCACTGTTAAAATAAATGACTCAACTTCGAAGTATTTATATATATATATATATATACGTATAGGTGAAAAATTAAAGCTTCCGCTTTTTGTTGGGTACTTCGACAAGATTTAAGCAAAGAGGACTCTTTATACTTTTTTTAATTCTCTCTAGCTTTCAATGGACTTTGCCATCATCATCAGGAGCTGCAATTACAATGATAACAGTAGCAACAAAGGTGTAAAATGAATTTAAATTGACTCAACTTACAGTAGTATGTGAGAATGTTGCTAATTGTTGTTTACGTATAGGATGAGGGAAACGTCCAGTAACATGGTGAGAGCTGAATAGGTTGCACAATAGTCAAAATTTATACAAAACATGACAAGAACAAGTTAAAAACAGATTAAAAATTATTTTAAAAAATTAGAACATTACATCGTGAAACCACCTGATGATTGCACAAATTAGTGGTCATGGAATGATGAATTGATGAGTGACATGAAACCCTTTGACAGAAGGCCGAAGGATGTCAATGTCAGTATTGAAAGATGGAACGAATTGTGGGCGTGTGCCAAAAACGTTGCCAAATCACTTCAGATGAAGAGATTTTCAGAATTTTATGATGGAATTTGTTAAACCGACCAGAGGCAGTTGAATAAACTATATTATTATTAATGGGAATTTAAATTAACAATTATTAATAAATCGTGAGGAGAGAATTATTATATTTTGAGTGGAATGAAATTTACTGGTGGAAACGGCCAAAACACAGATTCTAATTATGGTTGTGAAGAGTTGAAATTTGGGGAGATATGTAAGTTCTCCAATTTTTCGCAGTTTAGCAAATATGAGTAAATGACACTCAGTTGTTTAACATATGTCTTTTTGTTGATACAGTTGTTATTCATGAAAATGTGGGACATTTCCAGGAATAAACGTTTGGAAAGGTGTTTTTCTTTATCAAGAACTTTGATACTTGTGTAATTCATAGAATGCCCTGTTGTGTTAACATGAGATGCTAGAGCGCATCTTTCAGGATGAAGCCTAGCATCACTTTTGTGTGATGTAATCCTATACGTATATATATATATATTACCTGTCATATTTTTTGAATGATCTTCTACAAAGGTACCAAAGAAATACGAACAAGCACATTCTCAAAAATGTCTGATTTTGAATAAGCTGTGCAAAACCGGTTTGGTGATGTTTTCTCGCTGTGCTGTGTAGAAGAACGATTGAAAGAAAGAGCAATATGTAGAGGATGAGATACATGTAATTCTTATTATCTTTTGCCTGGCGTTGTGTGTTGAGAGATAAGGTAGGTTTACTATACACTTCCCACGAAACGCTGTCATTAGTTAATAAAAAATTATGTTCGCTTCTGTTGGCTCCTCTGAGAAAAAGTTAGCTACGAACATGTAAAGGATGGGCCATCAGTTGTTTTTTCAGTTGGTATTATTTTGACAGATGCTAAGACTTTCATGCTCAACATATTGACAGATATATTGTGTCAAACTGCCGCTGTGAGCAATGAATCGTTTTAATCTTGAATAAAGGTGGGAAATATTGAACAATCATTTTCAAAGTGAGGGCTGTTTGGTGTGGCTTTTGGAGTGGTGGGATTATTGGCGCCTCTTTTAAAGATGAAGATGGTAACAGCGTGAAGGTAAACGGGGAGTGATATAGAGACATGCTGAGGAGTTTTTTGTGGTCACTGTTAGACGACATGCACTTGCACAATCTCTGGTTCCAGCAGGATGACGCAACACAACCGATCTTTTACACACCAAGTTCGGTCATCGCGTTATCAGCCGTTTTGGAGACGTTGATCGGCCAGCCTGCAGCTGTAATTTGACGCCCATGGATTAATTAATATGGGGTACTGTTAAGGACCGCTGTTACACAAAATTGGGTTTCAGGCTAGCCGCGGCAGCCATTTAACTGAAATTGTTTTCCATAAATAATCGGAAGGTATATTCTTTCGAATAAAGTATCGAGTGTTACATATTATTGAAGAGTGTAGTTTTAATACCAATTTAAAAAAGAAACCAACGGATGGCCCACTCTTTGAAAAAGATTAAAAACATCAAGTAAAATTTAAAAATAATGATTAATTCATTTATCAAAGCTTATCATAGACTAAATTTGGGACCGAAATGAGTTGGCAAATTTGTATTTGTAGCCAGAATATCATATTATGATTAGGTATAAGGAAAGGCAAGTAGTGTTGCGGTAACTTAGACGAAAAAAAAGGACAATGATTGTCCTATGTTTTTCATGCTTGGATATGTTCGCAGTTAGCAGAAAGTCTTTTCGTATGGCTTGTTCTTAATGTTATTAAATTTATTTTGAATTTGGCTATATTTATGAGGGCCAGGAAATGTAACGAAACCTAAACTGCACTGATTTTGGCCATCCTATGACGTGATCAATCAGTTACTATTGTTTGGCTTCATGATCAAAACTGAATGTCCCGATTATCAGGCATGATATAGGACTACATAATCAGAACGGCCACAGATTAATTTCCAACCCTTCGCTTGTTTTTTTTGCCCTCCCGTAAAATATTTCTAGAAAACAAAATGTCTGATATCCGGTTATGTGACTAACAACCAAGAGAAGAAAACTATTGTATAAGCTGAAGTGAAAACGTGGAGGTGGAATTAAATCCAAACAAATTCCGTTTCCCAAGTTTTGGTGCGTCTACGGAAAAGCTGCATTTAAAGTGAGTTTTGATATCTGGTAGATATACATACATATTTTGTTACTTTGAATGCTTCCAACGCTTTCTATAGTTTACAAGGGGCTCGATGACTCGTCCACCTTGTGGGAACGTCCATAATAAACTTGGTGTCAGATACAGAGGTAGTTTGCTCTTAGACCGTCCCCTATCTACTCCGGTGGGAGCTATTGAAAAACTTCGATTGATCACGTAATTCTCTATAAGACTCCCGGTTCGACGAAGCATATTGTTTGCACTCCCCAATAAACACGGGATCTACTTTGTACGATTTTTTTATATTCATGCAGACGCGTAGACAAATAAATACCGAGGGATCACGACTGCTATTGGGAGATTCAAGACACCTTGCTCATCGAAAGCCTCTTCAGGCAAATTGTCTCATAATCACGACACCCTAGGGATATAGGAGAGGTCGCACCGACCAGTTCTTGATGTACAAGGCTTAACAGGCACCGATCCAGATCACCCACCGTCCGTGAGAGAAGTGTAATGGATTAGTCGGACAGCTCTCCTCTGAATACCATCAAATATGGACTGTGTAGTAGGAATTGTAGCAGCAAAATATATGGGCAGTTCTTGAGACTGGGTTCTATCTCGACCTTGCATTGAGAACATGTGGACGTGCTGCAACAAAAGACTTCTTGATAGAACTTGACCATCCTTCGAAACCCAATGTACGCTCGGGTGCTTGTTGTTAGTCAAGGTTCAGAGTGCTGTCGTTAGCGAAGCTGAGGAGCGAATTCATTTTCAACGTACATTGTGACTATTTCGGCGCGTTGTTGCGGTGTAAAGCGATTCACGACTAAAATTGTAGTAAATTGACGTTTCAGAAACACGTATAACCAAATCACTAGGTTGGTAAATATCAAAGTCATTCGATGTTTCAATACCGACATAAAAGATGGCGTACCCGGACTGTTTGTCGCTAATCAAGCCGTGATGCTCGTTATACTTTAGAAGGTCTCTATCTGTGTACTTCCCCTGCTAATAACGTAACGCAGAACTATATGTCTATAGTTCCAAATGCTCGTCTAAGACCTTTTTGGAGACAGGCTGAATATGAGCAAACCTCTAACTGGCAAAGTACTGGATTTACAAGATATTTGAACAAGGTGCGAAAGAACTGGAGTCAGCTCCACTGAATATCTTTCCAGCACATTAGCAGAAATCAGTTTGAGACTTTGTTGATGTCGAACGACAAGAGCACCCGTCTGACGGTACAATGTCCGTGTAGTGTAGAGAATCCTAGAAATCTACGGCACTCGAACGTGGCAATGAACGTTCCTGGTGGAGTTGGCAGCGAATATCCTGGAAAGCACTTGCGGCTGAGTCCCGGAATCAGTTGCAATCGTTCTATTCTGTCATGTAAGCAGTGGAAGGCTACTATTTGAGAAATTCCTTTCAATCGGCTTGGCGAGTTTCCAGAAAGGCCGACTGCCATTGCTCTAAGACATTACCGCGTGTCTAACTTTTGCATCATGCTGGTGTTTGGCATTGCAACCAGCTTCATTATATTTTATTCTACAGTATATTCAGATAAGAGATAGACCGGATGTAAACAAAAGGTTCGGGTGATTTTCACGCTAACGCCGCCGTCTCATTGGTCAATTCGCAATTAAATGCCTATGCCGAGCGGCAGAGCAGTCGTATCAAGGCAGAGTCACATTCAGGTTCAGACGTGTTACGTA